TAGCGCTAGGCCATAGGAAGGGCTATAATCTGGGCTAGGGTGGCCATGTTTAGCACATAAGATACAAGACGCCCAAATAAATTTGAATTCCAGCGGATCCTTCTGTTGGCATTAGCTTGTCCCACGCAATAACTGACATTTTATTTGGCCACCCTGCTCTGGGCGGGAGGAGACTGGGGCGGAGTGGGGCGGGGGGCGCGGCCAAGGAAGGGGAGGTGCACACCGCCGCCCAGGCCTTATTCGGGCGGGGGTCTCGGGGTCTCGGGGTCCCGGGGCGGGCCCGGGCCCGCCCAGCTCAGACGGCCCTCAGGCAGCGAGCGGGCCCGCGTGCCGAGCCTCCCCGGTGCAGCGCCCGCAGCCTGCGCTCCCGGCTCTGCTCCAGCTCCAGCCTGCGCTGCGCCTCCAGCTGCGCCTGCGGGCGGGCGGTGGAGGTCGACGCGGGGCGGGGCCGTCCGCCACCGCGGCTTCCCCGTCCCCCCACCCCGCGCCCGGCCCCCCGCTACCTCCAACGCCTGCGCTGCGCACCCTCGCGCCCGGCCCCAGGGCTCACCTGCTGCTTGGGGCTAGCTGCCCGCGGCGCCGGCACGTGCAGCAGTGCCTCCCGCCCGCGGCGCTCGGCCGCCTTCTCCCGGATCCTGCGCTGCAGCTCCAGCACCCGCTCGTCCCGGGAGGGCGCTCCCGCGGCCGCCGACTGCGCCGTCTCCTCCTCCCACCTGGGCGGGCGGCGGGGCTGGCTTAGGAGGACCCCACCGCGGGTTGACTCCAGGGATTCAGGCGCAGGTGGAGAGGCCCCGCGAGGGCCGCTCGGGGCGGGGCTCCCCCCAGCACCTCTTCCTTTTTGCTCTTTGTATTTCACAGTTTAAAAAGTATTCCATCGGTATTAACTATCTTGGTATTGGGGATAAAAAAAGCGAACGGCCTTTCATCTTGCCCTCCCCTTGCCACTCTTGCCTAGGGATAGCCGCGGCTAATATTCTGCTACCTTTGCAGATCTCTTCCACACTTGGCCACAAGGGGCCGGAAAAGTCACCACAGTGCTCCTAACAAAGAGGGGTGCGTGTGTCCACGTGCTTTCCGTTAAAAGAGAGGAGAGATGTTTGACAACCAAATTTGATGTGTGAACCCCAACTAAGTCCTGCTTTAAAAGGGAAAAAAAAGGCACTTCCCTGGTGGCGCAGTGGTTAAGAATCGGCCCGCCACTGCAGGGTCCACGGGTTCGAGCCCTGGTCCGGAAAGATCCCACATGCCGCGGAGCACCTAAGCCCGTGTGCCACAACTACTGAGCCTGCACTCTAGAGCCTGCGAGCCACAACGACTGAACCCCACGCGCCTAGAGCCCGTGCTCCGCAACAAGAGAAGCTCCCGCACCACATTGAAGAGTAGTAGCCCCCGCTTGCCGCAACTAGAGAAAGCCCGCGTGCAGTGACAAAAGACCCAACGCAGCCAGAAGTAAATAAATAAATAAATGTGTTTTTTTAAATAGCTGGGGGCACGTGATTGCAAGGGAACTGCCTGGGCGGGAGGGTGGTGGGTTGCTGCGAGGAGAAGCCACCCAGGAGGGTGCAAAAGCAGACTCCCTGCTCCTTGCCCACCCAAGGCGTCCGCCCCAGGCCACTGGCACTAACCTTAAGGCTGCAGATGTCCCCATGGCCGCGCGGCGCAGCGAGATCTGCGCCACCGTGTTGTGCAGCGCCTGGCTCTTGGCGCGCTTGCCCTGGATGATCTGGTCTCGCTTCTCCTGCTCCTTGCACCTCTGGGTCTCCTTGAGCAGGGCCAGCCGCTCACGCAGCTCCACGACCGACATCTCCCCTTCCAGGCCATAGCCAGGGATCTGCAGGGTGGGCAGGGGAGGCCCCAGGCTGGGAACTAGGCCCAGGCCCAGCCTGCCTGGCCATCTCCAGGGCGCTGGCACCAGTACCAGCAGCCCTCTTGAGTGCTATAGGCCTGGCCTGGTGCCCAGGAGACCTCCTCCTATCTACTGAGTGGTGCCTGTGTGACGTGTCCACCATCTAGCTTCTCCAGCCTGGGCCTGCTCTGCAGCCCTCAACCTCTGTGGGGACATCTCAGCTGGGTGCCCTGCAGGCCCCTCCACTGTGGCAGGGACCAAATGGAGCTCAGCACTGTCTCCCCAGCCAGGACCTGGGGGCCTGGGTAGACAGCCCTTTGGACTCTGCCCACCCCCCAGGACCAGGCCTGCCCTCACGTCACCGTGCGCCAGCCTGGCCTCTCGTGGCGTTTCTCACACAGGCTTCCAGGCACGGCTGCCCTTCTCTTAGCCTCCTGCTTGCCCAGCCTTGGGCCCTCGTGCACCTGCGCTCTCCCTACGCTGCCCTTTCCAACCAGGCCTAGTGAGTTCCGGGAGCTCCCTCAACGCGCAGCTCCACGAAGCCTACCTTGCCCACCCCCAGGGGTGATGGAGGCCTCCCTGGCAGGACTGAGCATCTGGACCAGACCCAGGCCTCCAGCATGGCGGGCACAGGGGAGCTGGGCATGAGTGGATAGGTGGATCTCGGCCTGGGTCCAGACTGCCTTTGGCCTTGGTGGGAATTCTGGACACATCCTTTATGGCAATGCCAGGCCCAGTAAGACCTGGGGAAGCTCCCCGAGGTTGTCACATGGGCATGGGCTCCGGGGGCCACGTCCTCACCTGGGTCAGGTCCACCAGCTTGCCCTTGCGCGTGGGCTGAGTCTCCAGGGCTCGCAACTGGGAGATGAGCTCACGGCGCCGCCTCTGCTCTTCCTTGGCTGCCTCTGCACTGCGCTGTAGCAGCTCCCGGCTCTCCTCTATCACCTCCTGAACTAAGGGCCAAGTTGGGGGTGCTGAGGGGGTCAGAGAGAGAGCAGCAGGGCCAGCACTAGGCACAGGTAACTCCCCTGGGAGGGTACCCCCCCCCACCCCGCTGTACCCATCTGCCGTCGGCCCTTCAGGAGCTTTGTCTGCGCCACCTTGATGTTCTTCTGCGTCTCCATCACCTGCTCCACCAGCTCCTTCATGGACCTTTCCTCTTGGAGGCGCCTCTCGGCACACTGCTGCATCAGCTCAGCTGTCTGGACAACCAGCCGGCCACAGTCAGAGCCGCTGCCTGCGACCCTGGGCCCGCCCCAACCCCGGGAGCAGCATGAGGTCTGGACGGCGGACCCAGTCCCTGACCCTGAATCACCCTGGAACCTGGGTCTAAGCTCATCAGCGTCTGGAGGTGTGGCCTGCTGGGGAAGTCTCGCCTCACATCCTCCCTTCCTCCACTGTGGTCCTGGGGGTGTGAGCCCAGAACCATGCAGCCACCCCCCCCGCCAGATCTGACAATAAGCTGAGGAGTGCAGCCTGGGGAAACCAAGTCAGAGCCACTGGGTTTGCCCTGAAGCCCAACCACTGCTGACTCCACTCAAGAGAGCAGGGCACTGCTTGCTTTGCAGCCACGTGGAGCTGGCTGCCCAGATTCTGCCCAGGCCTGTGCATAGGACACGCCAGCCCCCGGGAAGCCCCAGGCTCCCCATCACATGCGCCCCCGGGCACGCCCTGACGGTCACCCCACAGTCTTCTTTCTGGAGGAGCCTGAGAAATGCGCAGCTCTAAACCGCGGAGCATGGTGTTGCCACTTTGAACCGCACACAAACAGGACTCGCCCCGTGTCCTGGCTGTGGCTTCCCTCTTCTGCTCAGTATCTGGGGGTACTATCCTCATCCACGTTTTCACCGGGATTGCAGTTGGCTTATTCTCGTTGCTGTTTCGGGGAATATATAGCAACTCTTTGATACATTCTACCACTGACAGACATTCAGGTTGTTTCCAGGGTGGAGCTATTGTGAACAATTCAGAATATTATTTTCAGTCTTCAAGATGCTACAAAGGACAGGGTGGGATGTATACCTCCTGTCACTGCCCAGCGCTGCCAGGGAGCCCCTGGACTCCCAGTCCTGGAGGTCTTGGCACCTGGGGGCTCATCTCTGACTGCATGGTATGTGCAGGGTCCATGTGTGGCAGCGTGGATGCTAGGCACACTGGGCAGGAAGGAAGCCTTTCTTAAAGCACTCTGCCAGCACATATAAAAACGGCTTTTGACCATCCCTTTCTGTGCAAGTTCATTCCAGGTTCTAAGAAAAGGAACCACGGTCTTTGGAGAAATGGCCATTTGAGGTCTGGGGCAGGGAAGATACAAGATGAGCCTGGAGCATTTTATGGCACCATAAAGTAAGGAAGTGCTCAAAAAACAAAAGGATGGTGGGAGGCATGGGGGCAGGTCGAAGGGACACAGGAGCCAGCCTGAAAGGGGTCCCAGTGGCCAAAGCTGGCAACAAAATAAATCACATTGTATTGGATTATAACACAAAGTATAAAATAAATATGCATGAGTCCACACTGATATAAATGAGTGGACTGATATATATAGATATATAAGTGAGTAAGTGGGGGAGAAGAGACAAGTCTTCTGTGCTGAAGAATCCACATAACCTACCCACCTCCTTGAGCGTGGGCCCCGCTTAGAGACCCCTCCCAAGGAGTGCAACGTGGAAAGGGGGAATGACCGCAGTGAGAAGCCAGGTGATCAAGTCCAACATCCTCAGTGATAAGTCTGCTGATGGCGGGCACCCTTGAAGGGATGGGATGAAAAGGCACGTGGCCCCTGTGGTCTTCCTCCTACACCCAGTCTGAGCATCTCAACAGACAGACGTTCTACAGGACACCTGACCAGCACTCCTCACCACTGCCAAGGGCACCAAGGACAAGGAAAGCCTGAGACAATGTCATGGCGAAGACGAGTCTGGGACATCCTTGGATGGGCTCTTGGACAGAAAAAGGACATAAGTAGGAAAAAAAAAATGCTGAAATCGAAATAGAGTGTGGAGTTTAGTTAAGTTACGTGCCGATATTGGTTTCTTGATTGTGACAAATATACCCTGGTGTAGTGGGTTGGTGCCCCCCCAGAATTCATGTCCACCTGGAACCTCAGAATGTGATCTTATTTCCAACTAGTTAAGGACCCAATAAGAAATGAGTTAAGGATCTTGGGATGAAACCATCCTGGATTTAGGGTGGGTCCTAAATCCAATGACAGGTGTCAATATAAGAAGAGAAGACCCAGAGAAACATGGAGAGATGTGGCCATGTGAAGGTGGAGACAGACGTAGGGTGAAGCTGCCACAGACCAAGGAACTCCTGGGGTCACCAGGAGCCGGAAGAGGCTTAGAGCAAGCACGGCCCACCCAACACCTTGATCTCGGACTTCCGGCCTCCAGAACGGCAGCTAAAGCCCTCCAGTTTTCCATGCTTTGTTGTGACAGTGCAAGAAACCCCATAGGCACGTGCTGATGTAAGATGTGACCCGCAGGGGAGGCTGGGTGACCACAGGGGAACCCTCTGTACTAGTTGCAACTTTTCTGTCACTGCTTTTAAAAAGTCCCAAAGTAAAACGTTTGTTTGTTTGTTTTTGTGGTACGCGGGCCTCTCACTGTTGTGGCCTCTCCCGTTGCGGAGCACAGGCTCCGGACGCGCAGGCTCAGCGGCCACGGCTCACGGGCCCAGCCGCTCCGCGGCACGTGGGATCTTCCCGGACCGGGGCACGAACCCGCGTCCCCTGCATCGGCAGGCGGACTCTCAACCACTGCGCCACCAGGGAAGCCCTAAAACGTTTATTTTAAAAAGTACTTTCGAAAAAGTTGTAATAAGTTCGAGATATGCTTGTGTGGAAATATGAGGTGAGAAAAAGTAGGCTACCGAAACGTGGAAGAGTCGTACCCCAAGTAAGTAAACTACGTGCAAGGAAAGACACCTGGGTTTGAAGGAGAGGCAGCTGAGCCGAGTCCCCGGCCCCCCGGCTGGCTGTGGAGGCACAGAAACAGCTGGCAGCCTGGTCCTGGGAGTGAGGAAGGGGGGTGACATCTCCTGGCTCGGAGCGAACCCCGCGGAGCCCAGGAGACGGCGCAGGCCGTGGAGAAGGCCCCAGGATTCTAGCTCTGCCTCCGCCCCGACGAGCTGTGTGACCTCCAGCAAATCACCCCCTCCCTGGCTCCAGTGTGTCTGCTGGTGAGTGGGGACGGCGGTGCCACCTCCCAAGTCACGCCTGCACGGCATCCCCATCAGGCGTGGCATCAGTGTCAGCACAGCATCAGGATTTGGCAGAGAGAACGGAGCACTCAGAGGTTGAAAGGAGGTGACAGAGCCGAATCTGTGGGCAGGCAGAGGTGTTGGCGAGCTAGGGGTGTGGTCCCCTGGAGAGGCCACCAGGGTGGTGAGCGGCTCGCAGGGCAGCTGGCTGGCTGGAGTCCTGGGCTGACTCTTGGTTCTGTCTGCTCTGACATAAACCTCGGACCCCTGGTCTGGCCCAGAGTCCACTCAGGGGCCAGGCTGGCCTAATGCATCCTTGGGCCCTAGGCTGGAAGCCCAGCTGGGTTTTCCGCACATCTCTCCACCCCTCCCGCAACTAACATCACCCGAACGAACGAGGGCTGCTGGCTGACCTCGCCCCAGGCAAGGGCTTTCAGCTACCAGCACGGGGACACCTTTAAAGTCAAGTAAACACAGAACACACCAGACAGCATTGATGTAACAAAGCCAAATAGAAAAATGCTCCAAGGGCCTCCAAACTAAATCCATTGAATACTTCGGTAAAATATACTCTAAGAATGGTCACTCATGACAACCGGAGTGTGAAATGTTACTCACCCAGTGGATTTTGTGCTAATGTTGGTACTGCTACTCCGGATTAACTTCACTGTGATGATGGATTAAATAAAAGAAAAAAGCGGGCTTCCCTGGTGGCGCAGTGGTTGACAGTCCGCCTGCCGATGCAGGGGACGTGGGTTCGTGCCCCGGTTCCGGGAGGATCCCGCATGCCGCGGAGCGGCTGGGCCCATGAGCCATGGCTCCTGAGCCTGTGCGTCCTGAGCCTGTGTGTCCAGAGCCTGTGCTCCGCGACGGGAGAGGTCACAGCAGTGAGAGGCCCGCGTACCGCCCCAAAAAAAAAAAAAAAAAAAAGCAAGAATTATGTGAACTTTATCCATTTTGTTTTCCAATATAGCTACTTATTTCTGTGGTTCATCAAATTATTTTAAACGGGGCCAAAATTGGGAATTCCCTGGTGGTCCAGTGGTTAGGACTCGGCGCTTTCACGGCTGAGGGCCCAGGTTCAATCCCTGGTTGAGGAACTGACATCCAGCAAGCCACGCAGCACAGCCAAAAAAATAAATAAATAAAGGGAGATAAAATTAAGTGAAGAAAATATATTCAAATTGTTTATGATGAAACAATGTCAGAGCTACACTCATGACTTTACAAATATATCGTTTTCAGTCCTGTTGCTAGAGCACCTTAATACTGGTCACCACGGAAAAACCAGGAAAGCTCCCCCCACCCAGCCCCCAGCTATGGAAATCAACACTGGGTTCTGTGGTGAGGGCCAGGGCCTCGGTGGGGTGGGGGCGGGGGGGAATAACTGAATCTACGGTCTCAAGAAGAGAAAATTCAGGTGGGCCCAAAACATCCTACCTCTCAAAAGAAAGGATGCCTCCAGGCTCTAGAGGGATGCTGAGAGCACAGAGGCGAGGAAAGGGCTCCCTCCCTGGGCCAGGGGCTGTGGCAACGGAACCTCCCGTGGAGACAAAGTCCCATTAAGACACGGAGGCTGGGGACTTCCCTGGTTGTCCAGTGGCTAAGACTCCACGCTCCCAAAGCAGGGGGCCCGGGTTCAATCCCTGGTCTGGGAATTAGGTCCCGCATGCATGCCACCGCAATTAAAGATCCTGCATGCCGCAAGGAAGACCTGGCTCAGCTAAATAAATTAATACTAAAAAAAAAAAAAAAAAAAAAGACACGGAGGCTGTAAAGTCACCAATCCAGCATGAACGGCACACGAAAACAATGCAATTCTTTTGTCTTCAAATGTTTAGTGCCGTCTACTCAGGTTACTTTGTTCATAAAACACGCTCTTCATCTACATGCGTGTACCTGGATGTTCCAGGTCGGGGAGAGAAGCCTCTGGACCTGTGCAGGATGGTCCAGCCAGAGTCGGCCGGGCTTTGGGGAACACGGCTCAGGGCTCGGAGAGCTGTCC